AATAAATGTGAGCTTAAACCATCAATAATCATAGCACTGTCCTCTAAAAGCCCTCCAATGGTTCCTCAAATACCTAAAATGTCATCCTCAACCTGCATTACAAAGGCTTTCCTGGTTTAGTCTTAATTCACCTTTCTAATCTTCTTCCCTTACTTCTAACCAGAACTGAAACTTTACTTTCACAAATAGTTTGTGCATTACTAGTTCCACCTTTACAAGTACGATTTTCTAGAGCTGGTAAGTTTTTTCCCTTATTTTTCAAGTATCAAAATTTTACTGTTCGCTTAAATTCTGACTTCCCTTTCACATGAAATATTTTGTGATCATTCCATGGAATGAAAATGGAATCACTGGTTAGTGTCATGTGCATGGACCTCATATCCTACTGAAGACAGTAAAGTCCTGGACATGAGAGTTTGGTCTTCCACTACACCACACGTTTTTCTTTGGATGCCCTAACTAAGAAGATATTTTGAGTAATGCTATATTATAATCCACAAAACTCACAAAGTTGACAATGCCTAGGATCCTTGATCATAGCATGATTTTAAAGTATTCTGCATTTTTGTTAACCTCCAATTTTTCTTGCATCTTTAAAAGGAATAAGTATTTTGTATAACAGTTACCCAGGTTGGCTCCATAAAGAGATGTAAGTGCCATTTCTGACATTCAGAAAGACTTTGTAAACTGACTGAGTACTTCCCAGGCTTCTTTTCCAACCCTCATCATTTGTGGACAATGGCATTGGGCTCCCACAGTCTCTCTCTGTCTTCTTTGATACTCTCTCCCTCCCATCCTTTTTTCAGCCTCCAATAAGATCTTAGTAAACACAAACATTTTTGTAAGACTTGCCTGCTTCAAAGCCTCCCAATTGTCCTCAAAATAAATGTACAATATCTTCAGAAAAGCCCCTTTGTGATTGGGCCCTGGGTGTCTCCCTAGCTTTTTCTGCTCAATCAATACTGAAATATTTTCCATTTCCCAAATACCTCATTCTATTTTACTTCTCCATGACTTTCTAAATGCCTTTTGCTTCTGCCAAAGAGTGAAGCAGCATAATCTCTGTGTAATAATCATGGCAACTCAAACTTATTTTGCTGACACAACTCATGCTTTATTGTTCCTCTTCAGATTCCAAGACCTCTCACAGGCAGAATTAATTCTCTGTTCTATGACAATACTATAGATTGCATATACTTCAGTAATTGTACTTATTATACCTATCACTTAAAATGTATATTTTTACATAAATGCAATTAAATAAATTGTGTTACAGTGTATTACAGTAAGTGCTACAGTAGAGATTTATCTAATGTTCTCTCTTGCTCATCTGAACTGAACCACTTCATATTCTTACGAAATACAACATAATGGTTGGAAAGAACAAAGGTTCTGAGTATAGACAAATTAGGCTTGGATCCCATAAATAATAATAGCTAACAGGCATTTATCACTTACTATATGTAAAGCACTATTCTAAGTGCTTTATGTGTATTAACCCATTTAATCTTCGCAGTACTCCAATAAGGTACATACTGACAGGTTATACAAGAGTGCTCTGAAAAACCGAGGCCACATGGAGTCTAGCGCCATTGAGTGACAGAGCTAGAATTTTAACCTGAACAATCTGACCACAAATCTGGCTCTTTTAACCCCTTATATATCCCTTAGCTAATTAACCTCTCTGGAACTTTTCATATCTGAGAAAAGGGAAAATAGCATCTTCCTCACTGTGATTATAAAATGAAATGGTAGTCCCTTTTCCTATGGTTAATTTTTTTTTTTTAGAAGCAGTATACACTTATTTGACTTTCTAGTTAATATATAGGGTATTTACTCCATTACTGTCACAATTTTCAATCCTCAACACTGTAAGAGAACAAAGGAGCTGTTGCTTTTCTTTTCTTGTTACTCCCACTAATATCAAGTTCTGCATCTTGGCCAGAGGAAGGTTAGCCTAGTTTACATAATGGAGATGGAAAAAGATGAATTTGTTGCAATTTGTTTCAGTTCAATTGATTTTGTGTAATTGTAATTCAAAGTAATTCTTTGGCTGAAAAATTTATCTTTAGGGCTTATTGATTTATGTGGCACATGACGAGTACTTGCTTATTGATAAAACCAGAAGAAATAAATATGTGGCTTGATAAGAACAAAGAACAAAATATAAGTCAAATAAATTGACAATTTAATCTACTTCTTAACCTTGTAGTACAGAGAATAAATCTTCTTTACACAATGCTAGTAGGAAATGTACATAGACTTTACACTATTATTAGTTGTGAAATCTTGTTCCATTATAAGTAGGATATGATTTCCTCAAATTTCAACCAAACAGTGGACTTATTATAATTCCATCATTCAGGAATCTGTACTTATTGATGAAGTCTGTGAAAGTCAAAATTGATATTTGAGAAACTAGTTGAAATTCTGGTCAGAAAATATGCACAAAATATGGTGCCACTCAATTTTTCTTTTTTAACATCTACAAGCTGAAAATGCATGTCTTAGTTAACAGAATTATTCTAAACATAAATAGTATGTCACAAGTCCCAATCAGCTGCTTCAGAACATTGATTACCTAAGTATACATACTTAGCTCCAGAAAATTAAGTTTCAAATTTAACGTTAATAAGATTGACTTAATTTTGAAAGCACTGCATGTTCTGACTTTGTACGTGTACAAATGCAAGCATGTGAGTGTCCTATTACTGCACATTTTTACATTCACTGAAAATGTATAAAAATCTATGACACATTTAAGTCATGTTTTATCTAGATTCCAGAAACATATACTAGGATGTTTAGATTTGAAATACTTTGATTACATTAAACAAATCATTCATATTTAAACCCTTTTTCAAGCTGCTCTGAAATATAGGACATAGTCTCAGAAAAAAAATAATTTATTTCTGAATTTGAGTTGGGATTTACATAATTTTCTTCTTCATTTTATTTTAATTTAATCATTTTCAAAACCATTCAAAAGATAGAAATACACACACACAAATGTGATTGAGCAAGGTGATTACTCATGCTGTTATTGAAAACTAGAGGAGCTTGTATTACTTTCCATTAAATGGTTTTGCTTTTATAAGACACCATGGTCTGTACTCTTCAGTCACTTCTTAATAGTAATTGGAGACTTTGGGGAACACTGACAATTTTTCAGGTTTTATGGATACCATTTAGACTAGATTGCTTTAGTGCTTCATCTAATTTTCAGCACTCTTTTTCTCAGCTTAGAAGTTAACAGTTTCCATGCTCTGAGGTTATACATATCTTCCCATACTCTTGCAGGTGGCAGAAAATTGATAGCAATATTAGTAAGTACTTCATATGTCAGCCACCTGAGGGTATATGTAGCAAACAAGTGGGAAAGAAAGGTGGGGATTAAACTGTGTCTTCTGATTCCTAAATCAGTATTCTTTGCTCCTCAAATCTTCCCATGTCATCTTCCGTGTGTTCATGGTGTCTTCCCTGACATTACATCTTCCAAAGCTCTCTTTTAGTGATTATACTAGGGAAATGATTTTGAGGTCCTAAAATGTTTAAGTTACAAGAGCATATGCAAGAAATTGAATTTCATTTGAATTTTAGAATGAAGGCAATTGAAGGCAATTATATCAGTTTTTTTACAGTCATTAATGACAGGGAATCATTTATTTATTGTTTTTCAATATTTTATTCAACAAGGAATGGGAAATGAAGGTTTAGTTTTTGGAATTATTTTCCTTACGGAAATTAAAAATTGTTAGGATACAGAAGATCAAATTTATATGATTACACAAAAACAATGTTTTAAAAATCCAATGTCCATAATATTTATTATTTTAAAAAAGTGAAGTAAGAGCTTACAACATTCATTTGGCCAGCATGGTTAACTAGTGCTTTAACCACAGCTTACCCTGCATTTAAAACCACCTTACTAAAGCTTTCCTTAGAATTATAAATTATCCAAATTGAAGTAAATACTGCATTGTTAAATAATCTCGGTAATAGCAACTATAGCTTAAAATTAAAGTAGAAAATAACAATATACAATACAAACTGAGTAATATTACAAAGTACATGACCTTGTATTGGTAAAGAAATATCCATATAACCAGCTAGTAATATTCTCCATAGTTTCCTGGATAGTTGCATCTCACTGGAGCCATTTTATTTATGAAAAAAAAATGTTGCTTTAAATTTAAAAGCAAAACCTTCCCCCCACCATCCAAAGTGTTTTAACAAACTCACCATTTTACCAATGTAAACATTTTATAAATATTGTGCATATTTTACTTTTAACTTTGAAATCAAATTTGTTTTAAGAATAGATAATATAATACACTAATCTTAGCTCAAAGAGCAAGACTTAAATTTTCAAACTGTTATCTGGGTAATGTATATTTTTAAAGTTTTAAAAAAGTAACCAGTAAAACAAGAAACAATGGGGGAAAAAACCAAACCCTTTTAGCCAAAACCAAGAATTACTTTGGACTCTCCACATGTAAAAGTTTGCTGGGAAGACTCAGCATTTAACCCTTTCCAGCTAAATGCAGTTCTAGTAGTTGACAAATAAGTTTTTCTCTTGAATATAAGGCAGGTGGACAATCATAAGCACTAGGGGAAGCGCAGGCAAATTCAGACATACAGCACAAACAGTAGTAACCGAGTTGCCTGAAAGTACTTAATCCTCACTGAGTGCCACATTAACTCCTAAAGAATGACTTGAATTCTAAGGGAAATGAAGTCCAGAATGGCTTTTGACATGTATCTAATACAGCCTAAGAAACAGAAGTGCCTGAGAGGCCAACATAATTGAATCAAGTGAATATTTCTCTGAACCAATGATTCCTTTCACTGTGTTAAAATGAATACACTTCACAATTTTCATTTTAGGTCAGAGGCAGTGCAGCTTGTGTTATAACTGAAAAGAGAAGCACTAAAGATAAAAGAAATAGAGGATGGTGCTGAAAATAAATATGTTCAGCAGCCATTGTGATTCAACTTACCCAGATGTGCTTTTCATGAGATGGAGAAGGATGGATGGAAAAGAAAAGCACACAAATGTTAATGGATACATTTCAATCCAAAGAAAGCCATGGAATAAAACTAGAGCATTATTTCAGATGTGAGGAAGCTCATCATGACACACATACTCACTGTGTCCGAAAGCATGGTCAGGCTGACGGCAGTTCTAATAGTTGACCAGTAAGCCTGTGTCTTGAGTATGAGCCACTCTGAAACATGCATGACCCATTTTCCCAGCCTCTAGTATATCCCAGGAGGAAAACAAGGCACGTTGGTAAAGAACAGTCTTTACTTCAGGACACTTTGGTATTATTTTACAAATAGAAACAATAACTTGCTAAATGGCACTCTCATTTTCATATATCCTTGTAGGTTTACTGATAGAGCTCAAAAAGAAGAAGAAAAAAAAAGGTGTAGCTGCCCTCTGGAGAGGCAACAACTTTAAGTGTAGAAAACACCAGTTTGAGGGTCACCATCCCTGGATTCTAGTTCTTTTTTTTTTTTTAAATAATATTTACAAATCATTTTTAATTTTATGTATTACAATTATATTTTTTGTTGAAGCACATCTTACTTTTCAGAGATGCACACTAAAGAATTTAGGAGTAAAATGTCATGATGTATAGTGTAAGTTAAAATGAATCACACACAAAAGAAATAAAGCAAAGGAAAAGCCAACAATTGCTGAATCTAGGTGATGGGTATTCAGGTCATCAGTATACCACTGGATTCTAGTTCTAATATGCTGTTTGGTTAAAATTACTAACAAATTCTGATCTTCAATTTTCTCAATATAATCTGGGGCAAGAAGAAATTTATGAGGTCTATTCCAAGTTCATAATTTTATTATTCTAACAATAATATTAATTGTTTTTTGCTAATGTGTATGTGTCAATAATCAGAACATGAGAAAGTGTAAAAGAATTTTATTATTACTCTTTCTCCCTTGCTGTATTACTTCCTTCTGTATTTGAACTGGCAAAAGAAATGTTAAGTTTGTGCTGATTGTGTCTTTCAATAGAAACATTTATTTATTTAAACAGATATTTATAAGTGTTGCTTTACGAAAAAAAAAGAACTAGATTGGTTCACCAATATTACCAGAAACCATCATGAAAACTACATTGACTCTAATGTAGCTTTTAAAGTACATCCCTGGATGTAGTAGAGGCATTGAGAAAATATAGAAGTCAAATAATTCAACGAAAAGCCATGGGAATAGTGTTTTAAAATTTCTACATAAGCATAACAAAATAATTCTTAGAAAAATAAAACTGTTACTATAAGACACCTCATAAAATATATTCAGTATAACAAAATACAAAGCAGAAATTCCTACCTAGGAAATTAGGCAAGCTAGAGCATTTCCTTTCTTATTGCACAGTTATTATAAAGAAAAGTTTGATGTGCAATGGAACACCCTGCACGTGCCTCCTCTAAAGGCATTCATTCAGAGAAACCATGTAGTTTTTTTTAAAACAGGAACTTTGGAAAAATGCATATTCTTTGGCCTTAGCTCCAGGACAGCTGTGACAAGCTCTTTAAATTTTAACATAAACAAAAACATAAATGTCCATAAAAATTGGCATCACAATGTCCTAAGAAATTTAAGTCATATTTTTCATACATACATGCAACAAAAATAAATTTGAGATCAAGAGATAGCTTTTAGGTGCTTAAAATGGTTTTCTTGTGTCAACATACCTGTAAACTCTATGATGAGCTCTGAAAAAAGAAGCAATTTCTGAACTTTCCAGGAAAATTGCCAAAAGCATTTGGGACCAGCTATTACCATGAACAAAATAATCTTCCTTAGTCTACCAACTATCTTGGAGTCACTCTCCAATAGAAGAAGTTCATTAAATTTGCACACAGTGCAATAGTAATATTCCTCAGATCTTCAGTTATCATTTTTTAAACTAGGAAACTTATACCAATGAAAATACCTTAAAATATAAAATGTGAGAGAAAACATTAAACAGGAAACACAAATTTAAATAATATTACTCCAAACGTATTGCTAAAAGTTCTAATATTTCTGTGTCATCAATTTGTATATGTGGTCTGATTTCTCATAGTTTAAATAAACTTTTTTCTCTTCCATGGCCAATGAATTTAAGAGCAATACTGGGCAGCTATTTCACTTTGGGATATTATTTCAGCTCAAGACTTTAAAAAAAATATGTTCTGCAAAGGACAAAAATCTATAGTTGTAAATGACTCAAAGATTTTGTAGTAACGTATTATAAATGTCAGGTGAGAGGTAATATATATTTGCAGAGAAGATTTTTCTTCTGGATAAAGTGCTTAATTTTTCTTCTTATAAAAATTGATACATTATTTCCTAAAAACATTTGTCTACAGTAATGCATAATCTCATTATGTTTTTTCTCTCCATTCCATTACAGAATGTCAAGGTTATGATAATAGTAAGACAGATCTGTCAATAATAAATATTCTTTAGTTAAAGACCACTGTAAGGAATAGGCAAATAATAAGTTTCAATTGACATAGAAAAGAACAGGTTATGTTACCAACTAATGAATAAGATCAAATTCAACTATTGGCATAATGTTTTCTTTGGGAACATCAGCATACATCCACACACAATAAGAAACTACCAGCTAACAGAGGTCTTATATTCCAAAATGGGGCCTTAAACTTTTCAGTTGTCTCTTTGATCTGCCAGATCTCTTACCAATTGAATGCACCTTCTCTTGTTTATAAACTAGTCAACTTTGGATTTACAACTTCAGATGAAAAACAATTCACTGAACAAGCTTCATATGTGGAATATAATTGCCTCTTTTTCTTAAGGTTCAAGTTGGTGACACAAATATTTTTAAATCAAATATTAACACCAAATTGAGGAGTAATTGTGTGATAACTGAAGTGAAAAAGTGGAATAAAGAAAGAATTTCTTTTAATATATGAAACTTGAGAATGTTTAAATATTGATGGTAAAGCAAATGCGAATAGAATTTGAAACTATAGGAACAAGGGGGAAATCAGCACAAAATGACTTAGAAAATGGGAAGGCATTGGTCTTGGGTAAGAAGAGAGAAGCCTTGTTTTCTGCAATAAGACAGGATGGGGCAAGTGTTAGTGTGTATTTGGCAGCAGATAATTCAGAACACTCAGATGGTTACTCTCTCTCTCTCTCTCTCTCTCTCTCTCTCTCTCTCTCTCTCAAGATAGAATGTAAACTCATCAGCAGAAGATGCAGATTTAAGGACAGTGAAGGTCTATAAATAAAGTTTCAGGCAGTAGAAAGAACCTTAGCAAGAGAAAAACTTTGGAATTACAGGGGAGTGCTGAATTGCCAAATGAAGCTGGTCCAAATTTCCCTGCTGTGATTTTCTCCAGCAACACAAACATGTCCAAATGTATACATGGAGAAATAAAATTTATTAGTAGCTATGGTTATAACATAGAGATGTGACCAAGTGGAATGGAGTATAGAAATTTTGGAATTTTTCAGTGTGTTAAAATTATGGGCATGGAATCTAAGCTAAATCAAGAGGGAAGAAAGAACAGAAAGGGAGTAATGCCCTGGGAAAGAGTAGAGGTTAAAAAGATGCGAGCAGGAAAATTCAATGTAGCAAGCTCAAAGGAGAGAAGAGTGTTGCTAAAAAGGAATGAGATGCTTGAATTCATAAATTTGGAAGAAGAAGAATTTGGGGTGATAACAAGATTCAGAATATGACAGGGGAAGTGTCAGACTTGGGGTAGAGAATGACACTGAAAGTCATGAAGCCATAAAACTAAAATATTAGCATGTGAGTGTGTGATCTATGTGGATATAAGAGTGTCTCAGCATGATGGCAGGAAGTGCTTTATATCTAAACACAGATGATGAGACACATATAAAAATAAATAGCCAAGCACATTTCTACTGATCCTTACAAATGGAGGAAAATGCTTCAGAAGTTTTAAGCATGGTTCATCATTACACTGCAAATAACTTTTATGTTAATACTCAAGTTATTAAAGTATTTGAGACTCCTTAAGAGTTTAAGAAATCTTTATTCCTCTAAGAATTTTGTTATTCATTTGTGTAGCAAACCTAACACAGTGAAGTCCCAAATTAAAAGTTTGATTATGCAGAATTTGAAATAGACATTTAATTGCATGTTTGTGTATGTATATGCATAAAATATAAATATATATATGTAAATGCATATACATTTTTTAAATGAAAAGTCTTTTGGTGTAGAGCTATCTTTTTTTTTTTTTGGTAAAATCCTCGCCTGAGGATATAGATAATTACTACCCTTCTTAGAAGTAAAGATACAAAAATGAGAAGTTTGCTTCATAAACAGCTAATTTTAAATAACTATGGAAAGAAACCATGTCATCAAAGACTTTATGAAAAATACTATACAGAGCTAATATAAAATCCTATATTTGTGGGAAAAAAATGTGGAGAATTCTTCTAGACTAAGATGTCAGCATTTAAATTTACCTTGATTAGTGATTGTTTTTCCTTTGAAAAAGGAACTTAATGACCCTTGCTACTAGACACTATCCTGTTTTACTGGAATGAATAATTTAGATTCATTCAAGCACACATTTACATTTCTTACATGGCTTATTTATTAGAGAACATGAATATTATTATATCAAACTTTGGAATATTATGTGTGGCTAACTATATCAGAAAAAAGCCAGTTTTATAACACAGCTACATCTTGTGTTTTGAAATTCACCCCAGCCCGCACCACAACCCACTCTTAAAAATGGTTTTTGCTTTGAATATACTTGTTGCTCATTTGAAGGATAGGAAAGTAATTATTCTCTCAAGGGAAAAAAAAGCTACTCTTTTAGGTGTATAAAGAGAGGGATTTTTTTTTTATTCACTCCCTGTATAGACCATTAAAAATTACATAGGATATTCAAGGTCCAGCTGAGATTGGACTACATACGTTTTAAATCACGGCTCTACTCTGAGATCCTAAACAAATCAGAGGAAAACTGGACCCTGGAGATC